GGGGGCGGGGAGGCGGGAGGAGAGCACGGGTGGGCGGGCGCGCACGTCACGGCTATTGTGGCTGTCTGGATATATAAGGTCTCGCAGTTGCCGCGCTCCCCACCTTGCCGGCGCCCGCCCGAGCCAGGCCGATCTCCACGCACTGAGCATCCAGAATCGCGCGGTGTACCGACGGAGCGGACATGGGCAGAGCGATGGTAGCCAGGCTGGGACTGGGGCTGCTGCTGCTGGCCCTGCTGACCACGCAGGTGAGGCCCTGACGCCGCGTGGGGCTCCAGTTGCGCCCGTTGGGCGTGTGCGTGTATTTGCGTGTGTGTGGAGGGCCGGGTTCACCTCGACCCCCGCTGTGGGAAGGAGAGAGAATTTAGTAAAACCGACCCGGGGACGGGGCGACGAGGACTCGGTCGTGCGGGCGTCCCCACCCCTCCCACGGACTGCCTTCGAGCTCCCGGCGTACCACACAAAGAAAGGGGACGGTCCCCTCCGAGGAGCGTGCGCACGCCCACCCTCCGTCGGAATTCGGGGACTGGGAGGAAGCCCTAGGTGTCTGGCTGTACCTCCCACTCCGGTGCCCACTCCCTGGAGCCTCGGGGTGAAGCTTAGGTGGAAACTCTCCCCACGCTGGGCACGCCGCTGTGTGAACGTCGCTCCGTCCCTTGTCCCTATTTTAGCCCAGATTGAGTGGCTCCGGGGAGGCGGCATGGCGGGACCTCCCTGTCCCGAGTCTCCGCGCGGCTTTGTCCCGTTTCCTGCCACCACCGCCTCCGCCTCAGGTCCTCTGCCCGGGGAGGCGACCTCGCCCCCAGCGGGGCACCGGGGTGGCGCAGCGTCGGCTGGAGGGTGAACGCGCCGCGCCCAGAGCGAGACCTGGAGCTGAGCCTGGGACGTCGAGCGTCGGCTGGGCTTGGTGGCGCAGCCGGTGGCTTTCCATCACCTTCCGCCCGTGTTCGCTCGGGGGTGTCCCCCGGGCTTCTCTGAAAAGTTGGGTGCGCCGGGTGTTTGGTCCCTAGAAACTCAGTCTCCGGGCTCACCTGGGAGCGCCGCCGGAGAAGAAAGTGGGGCGCGCTTCACCTCCAGGGCGGGCGGGTTACTGTACCTCATTGTCTTCTTGCTGCGCTCCGGAGCCTTTCTCCCTTCTTCGGTGGGGGAGGGGCACGGCCTCAAGAAACCCGAATGTCTCCCTCCCCGTGTCCCATTTCCTCCTCAAGCTCGCCCTTTCCGCACAGAAGTCTTAGGAGACGTTTTAGTTAAGCAAATTAAGGGAGTTTGATGTGGAAAATTTTTGTTTAATTCCAATTTAATTGTTGAGGTGTTGGAGAGAGGACCTTTAGATTTTTAGAACGACGCACTGGGGTCTCTCTCTCTCTCTCTCTCTCTCTCTCTCTCTCTCTCTCTCTCGTCTCTGTCCCTTGTCTGTAGTCACCTGCTCTTTGTATAAGGGACAGGCTACTTTCGGGATCCCAAAACAGGCTCCCTGTTTTAAGTAATTTACCATATTAATATTTTCCTTTTCTTGGGGATACTACTCCTGATAGGGTAGGCTCTATCTTACACACAGTCGGCGCCCAATAAATGTATTTGACTGGATCAGGAGTTTGTTGTGGGTAGTCCCCTTTGGATATAATTTGTTTATTTGTCAATGTTTGCTTAATGGCTTTACTGGTGTAGAACAAAAGAACCTAGTGCTGATGTAGAAGGGTTTATCACTGGATTAATGGGCAGCCGAATGGACATGTGGCTAGAGTCGTGACCACAGTCTTTCTCGGTGCCTTGTCGCCCTCCCGCCTGTAATCGGAAGCCCGGGCGAACCCTCCCCTGCTGTGAGGGCTGAAAACTCGCATCAGCCTTTGTTCCACGATAAAGGAGAGATTATCACGTGCTCCGCTGGACTGTGCATTTTGTGGTTCACAAAATCAGTTGTGAATGATGCCATTTGGATGCTGGGACACCGGGGGAACCTTGGTTCTGGGCCACAGCTGAAAGCTAGTGACCAGGCAGTGAGCTGGTGAAATTTAACACCAAACCTTGTCAGCGTCTTTTTGTGAAGTCATTCCAACTTGAGGGTGTTTTAAACTCGTCATAATGCCTTTCATGCAAGGAATCTTCAGTATTTTTGAAATTTAAATTAAACTAGTCATTGTTAATACTAGTTTTTGGTGCTGGGGCTCAAACTCAAGGCCTTGCAGATAGATGCTAGGCAAGTGCTCTACTGCTGAGCTACATCCTCAGGGTCTTCCAAATAGTGTGGCCAATTTTGAGAAGGGTTGTAATTTCAAGATTTCAAAGGAGCAGATCAGATACTCAATGTGTCCTTAAGTTTTAAATTAAGAGCATAAATTACTCAGGCTGTATGAAACAGGTTTGTGAAAGTTACCACACTAGAATGGACTGTGACCCAACAAATTCTAGTATCACAAATCTCAATTACAGCTGTGCTCACCTGCACCCCCCCCACCACCAATTTTTTTGTTCTGTTTTGCTTTTTGAGGCAGAGTCTAGGTAACACAGACTGGCCTTGAAATCTAGGTCTCTTTCAGATTCTTGAGTTACTGATATGTGCTATCAACCTGGCTTAATTAATTAGTATTTTAAAGCCACTTTAAAATATCCCCTTTTCTAGGGAAACGAGAAAGCTTACTGTAGTAAAATCAAACCAGATTAACTCAGTTCTTTATTCCCTTGAACAGAGTTGGAAGTAGTCATAGTCTTTGAAGTAGTCATAGTCTTCAGGAATTATGCAGTTTGAAGAACTTTTTTGTTTTTGAGACAAGTGTCTCATGTAGCCATGGCTAGCTTTGATCTTTCTACCTCTCCTTCCAGGCCTACCAGGATGGTCTGCTACCACACCTGCTTTGGAGAACTTTTGTTCTTGTTACTGTTTGCATTACACCTCTAGGTATCTATAGGTAGTTTTGAAACTGAAGAGAATGGTCTTGGTGAGACTGAGAATTCAGAATTTAAAGATGTGGGAAAGAGAGCAGTGGGAAAAAGGCAGTTTTGAGACTGTATCATGGCCTGAAGGGTGTAGTTCAGTGTAGCATACTTAGCATACCTGAGGGCCTGTGTTCAATTTTTAGTACCACAACAAAAAGAAACTATTATCTGAATGGTGTTTTAGAGTGTGATGCCAGTGGAAATTTATCTGTAACATTTAAATGTATTTTAGGTATACTCCAACCAAACAACTTTTGAATCATCTTCATCTCAGAATAACTCTTCTGCCCCAAATCCAAATAATGGCACCGGAGCAGGCGGCAATGATCTGCAGTCAACAGCTACTCTCTTGCTGGTGGCACTTTCTCTTCTACATCTCTACTGATAGAGACTCTGGCCAAGCAACATCTCTACTTCCCTATCTTCTAGACCCACTCCAAATGGCAACTACAAATCCAATGTGGCAAGGAAGAAACTGGTCTGCATCAACTCTGCTATGACCACACTGTATTGTATTGAAACAGAAAAGGCTGAGAATTCCAAATTCAATTGGTTTGAAGGACACATGAAGGGTTTGACAGATGATGAATGCCAGTATTAAATCTGCTGGAGTTTTGTGTACAAGATGAAGATAGGTAACATGCAAAATTAACATGATGTCCTTGAATGTGGCTTAAGAAATCTGGACACTTAAAACTCTGTCTTGAAATCAGGCATAGGTTTTATCTAGGGATAGGGATGGGATTTGTAATGGAGATTCAATTTTCATTTGCTTTGTTCAACCTATAAGGACATGAAACAGGTAATATTCCAAAAGCTTCCATGATCCTATTTATATATACATTTGATGGAGCTACCAGATGATACTATAAGTCCTCCGTATTGTTTGAGCATTACTAATTTAACATGGAAAACTCTAGATAAAACTTCACACTGTTAAGCTGTCACTGTTCTGTCTGGAATTGAGTTTTTTTTTTTTAACCTCCTGCCCCTGCCCCTCTGCAGCTTTAGGCTTGACATTATATTTGACCGTTATGTAGGAATTGACATGTGCCAGGAGGTGATGGATTGGAACCCACCCCCAAATCCAGCCATCATCAATAGCTCTTGCTTTACAAAATCAAATGGTGGCTGTTTTCCGTCACCTGCTTTCAGTCAACGAGAGTGCCAGATTCTTTTAGCCAGGCTGGCTCCACAGAGTAGAACTGCGTTGACCTGGACTAATCTCAAAGTACAGCTTCTTTCCCACGTATGTTCAGTGCTTAAAATACGTTCTGTTATGAAAGTAAAATTACAAATCTTGAAATTAGAAAGGCGATATGGGAAGGAGCCCAAACTGTAAATCAAGCCTTTAGGATGTGAAGACTGGAGGCAACTTGAACTAAATTCACACAATCTTTTATACTCTTCCTGTGAATACTTTTTTTAAAAAGAAAAAGCAACAGATCCGAATAGCCACATTTAGAGTACTTTTAATTATCAGTTCATATTTTTAGATAGTTTGCCGTTGGTCCTTAGCTTGAGAGTGGGTTTCATTCCACAGTATTTTTTTTCAGCTGCCTTGATACACAGAAACCTTTGAAAATAGACATTCCCTGAAAAAAATGATTTGTTTGCATGGTCACACACTGATGCTTATATGTACTGGGATCTAATATGGCCACAGTAGTGTTGATAGCCAGAGTAATTTTTTCCATCTTTAGACCTACAGAGGAACAGCAGATCTCAAAGATCCAAAGCTGCTGTGTGTGTGAATGAACGTTTCCTCCTGCTTCATCCCCGAATGCTGTACCTCTATTTGACTGTATATTGTGTTTGTGTATTTATGCTTTGATTCATAGTAACTTCTCATGTTATGGAATTGATTTGCATTGAACACAAACTGTAAATAAAAGAAATAAATGGCTGAAAGAGCGATCTTGAATTTGAAGTTTTTCTGGTACAAGGAATACTTTGTAAGGTGATCATGGCTCTTCATTTAATCATTAGGGATATTCATGGTTGTTGTATCAACTAGAATATAACATGCTGTCATTCTTTTTCAAGGCCAGTTAACAAGCAGCAGGTTTGACCATAGGATTCCTTCCAAAAGTTGACATCTGTAAACCTTTAGGGCAACATACCTACTTACTCAACAATTGTATGCCAGCTATATGCCTAGGTACTGATGGTTGAGTACTGAATTTGGCTGGAGGGAAAGGCTTTGAGCTGAGAAAATATGTAGGTGATGCAGGTAAGCAGTGTGTTGTCAAGTAGTGCTCTGAGGAAAACACCAAAGGGTGTCAGGAATCATAAAGAAGAGACCTTGAGTGATCTTGGACATCAGAACTGGCATCTGAATGATGAGGCATAGTGGGAGAATGAGGATAAATCCTAGTGGAAAGAACAGTATTTGCATTGTTAAATCTTTTGTTTCTGTTTTGTTAAGATCAAAGACATGTTCACCATGCCTAGCATAAAATAACTTTTTTTTGTTTGTTTTGTTTTGAGATGGTCTCCCTGTGGCCCCAGCTGCCCTAGAACTTGCTATGTAGACCAGACTGGCCTTCATCTCACAGACATCCACCTGCCCCTGTCTCTGCCATGCCAGGCCTAGGATCTAATCATATCTACAAAGTACTTCATGCCAATATGAAGTGTTGGGTTACAGTTTGAGGAACTAGGAACTATCTAAATTGACACATCACTGTCCATCTCTTGTCAGCTTGGTACCAGAACATATTTCTTCAAACTGTTTTATCTCCAAATAAAGAACAGCATTGATGCCTAACGTCTTGCACACAATCAGAAACACTTCCTAGAAGATGCACCATCTTGGTTGTGTTCATCCTCACCTCAGTTTGGTTTTATTGTTTGTTTTTGAGACAGTCTCATTCTATAGTTCAGGCTGGCCTAGAGCTCATTAAGCAGTCTAGGCTGACCTCAAATTCTTGGTGATCCGCTTACCTCAGGCTAGAATTACAGCTGGGTGAGTAATCACACCCAGTTTTCCTTTGTTGTTTTTGAAACCAAGTCTTGCTATGTAGCTCAGGCTGGTCTTTAACTCCCTCTGTAGTTTAAGCTGTCTCGACCTCAGAATCATCTTCCTTTGCTTGCTGAGTGCTGGGGTTATAGTTGGCTGTCACTATGTCTGGCTTATGTTCACTTTCAATATCCTGCAACTTATAATGCTAACCATTATTAAAAATTATTATAAACCTCAAGTCTAAGAAATAAGGGGAGAAAGCAAACTATGTGGTTGCATCTGGTATTTACAGCTGTCTTCAATCCCTTATTTCCTTTGCTGTCAGTAAGAATCTCACAACTGGGGGCTGGAGAGATGGCTCAGCAGTTAAGAGCACTGACTGCTCTTGCAGAGGACCCAGGTTTGATTCTCAGCACCCACATGGCAGCTATGAACCGTCCTTAACTCCAGCTCCAGGGGAATCCAAAGCCCTCTTCTGACCTCCATGGCATTGCATGACACGGATGCACTCACATACATGCAGGCAATACACTCATACACATAAAGTAAAAATAATAAAATATATTTTAAAAAAGACTCTCACAGGCTCTCACAACTGATTGTGGTTCTTACCCTGGGAGTAACCCAAACCTTCACTTGAATTTTGTAGCTTTCTTCTGACTTTAATCACAGGGCATGGTAGTACTAAGAGATTGCTACCCCCATCCCCATCCCCATCTGTCCTTCCATCCATCTATTCTTCCCTCCCTTCCTTTCTTCTGTTTTCTGAGATAACGTTTCACTATGTAACCCAGGCTGGTCTGGAACTCATGGCACCCTTACTGCGTCAGCTTCTCAAGGGGTACGATTTCAGGTATGTGATACCATGCCCAGTTTAGAGATTTGTTCTTCAATCTTATTCTTCCTTGACTTCCATTGTTCAGTAATCAGGATCAGGCATAATTATAATAAGACCCTTATTTGCTCTTTGAAGCAGAAGTTTGAGGATTCCTAAGTGTCTGATAGCTGTCTCAACTTCCAGTTCAATGGTACCACTATTATATCCTGGTAGAAGCTTTTCACCTCCTCTCTTCCTCCTCCTCTTCCTCCATCTTTTTTCTTCTTTCTATTGTTATTTGTAGTATTGGGGATGAAGCCTAGGACTTCACAGGTGCTAGGAAAGTGCACTACCACTGACCTATACCCCTAGTTCACTCAGCAGAAGCATTCTTTCCTTGGAATCAAGGCCTCTAGATTATCAGAGCATAAATCCTAGTAAGTAAAAATTTTGGTAGTGAATCACTAAAGGTAATAGTGGTATCCTTCCATTTTCACCTCTTTTTTTTTTTTTTAAAAAATACTTTATTATTTTTATTTTATGTGTATAAGTGTATTGCCTGCATGTGTGTAAGTGTATCCAGGTAGTGCATGCCCTTACTGCACAGAAGAGGATATCAGATCATCTGGAACTGGAGTTACAGATGGTTGTTAGCTGCCATGTGGGTGCTGGGAAATGAATTTGGGTCCTCTGCAAGATCAGACAGTGCTCTTAACTGTTGAGCCATCTCTCTAGCCCACCATTTTCACCTCTTGACTCTGGGTCCTGTGAAACCTATGGGAGAATTGGCACCACATTAAGAGTGTGGATACCCTCCTGGAGTCTACAGACCTAGTCCTTCAAGATATGTCCCCTAGCAGGCACTGTAATGAATTTCAAAGTAATTGTTACTCTTCTGTAGGCCAGCTGCTTCAGGATTATAGGGAATACAACAAGATCACTTAATCCTTGCTCATAAGCCTACTGTTACATATCAATGACTTCTTGGTCAGAAGCAATGCTTTCTGGAATACCATGAGAGAAGATAAAGGATGGATGGTAGTTTTGTCAGTGTTATAATGTAGGGAAGGTAAATTAATATCTAGAATAAGACTATGTATCCAAGTAAGTACACAATGCTGTCCCTTCTATGATGAAAGTGATTCAACATAACCAACTTACACCCAGATTACTGGCTTATCAGCCTGGGGAATGGTGCCTGTTAGGGGACTGAATGTTGGTCTTTGCTGCAGCAGACTGGGCACTCAGCAAAGGCAGTAGCCAGGTTAGCCATGGTGAATAAATCCATGTTGCTAAGCCCCTGCCACCTTGGCCACTTCATTTATGAACCTGTTAATCAATGCCAGGGATGGCTGAAGTAAGAAGATCTGGACTTCACAAAATGGGTCATTCTACTTACTTGGTTATTCAAATATTTCTCTACTAAGATCACCTTTTAGTAAGCATTCACAGGATACACGCGCATCATCGTATTCTTTGTCCATCTCTCTCTCTTTCCCAGAACTTTTTGTCACCATTTTTTCTAATCATGTCTAATTGTTCCAATTCTATCCAGTCGAATTGTTGGCCACAGCCCATAAATCAGTATAGACTGATATTTTGAACATTTCTCTTTCCAAAGCAAAATGAACAGCGAGGTCCATTGTTTGTAATTCTGTCCACTGGGAGCATGTCTTTTCTCCACTGTCCTTCTGGAACGTCTTAGAGATTTGTCAAGCTGTAGCTTTCCATGTCTGAGTAGTGACAGCATATTGTGCAGAATCTTCTGTAACCCAGATCCAAGTTTGTCTTTCTAGGTTAACTGCTCATAGGGAACTCCATGAGGCCATTGTTGCAGGTAAGAAGGAAGGTGATCTAGCTGGAGAAAGGGCTGTGGATATTTGGGAGACTTCTTTGTATAACTTACTTGTGCCTCTAGGGCCTGCTTTGTATGGACTGCTTTCACTTGACAGTGGACTGCTGCTGTTCATCTAACTTTATTATGTAGGGGGTTAGACAATGTGATGGTTAATCTTCATTGTCAACCTGACTGGATTTAAAATCATAGAAACATACCTTTGGGTGTGTCTATTAGGGTGTTTCTAGAAAGTTTTAGCTGAGGAATGAAGACCTAATCTGAACATGTGTGACACTGTGCCATGAGTTGGAGTCTTGGACTCTATAAAAGGAGAGGGGCTGGAGAGATGGATGGCTCAGCGGTTAAGAGCACTGACTGCTCTTGCAGAGGACCCGGGTTTGATTCCCAGCACCCATATGATGGCTACGAACCGTCCTTAACTCCAGTTCCAGGGGAATCTGACGGTCTCTTCTGACCTCCCGCAGCATTGCATGACATGGGTGCACTCACATACATGCAGGTAATATACTCATACACATAAAATAAAATATTAAATAAAATATATTAAAAAAGATAAAAAGGAGAAAGCTGGCTGAGCTCCAGCAATCACTGTTCTCTGCTTCCTCACCGTGAACATGATGTACCTAATTGCCTTAAGTTCCTGCTGCCAATCCTTCCAAACCATGATGGACACTACTCTCAAACTATGAGGCAAAATTAACTCTTTCTTAAGTAGCTTTTGTCAGTTATTTTGTCACAGCAATGAATAAAATAACTAATATAGAAAGTTGGTACTGGGAGTAGTGCTGTTGCTTTGAGAAACCTGACCATGTGGTTCTTAGGCCTTCAGAACTGGTTTTCAGGAGAAATATGAAAGAATTTGCAACTTTGAACTGGAAAAGTCCAGAGTGCTCTAGGAGGAGCTTAGTGGGCTATTCTGGTGGGAGTTTGGGAGACTAGAATACTAAGAGAAACCCTGACAATAAAGGCCAAGTTTATTAGGTTTCAGAGGCAAACAAGGACTTCATTGGGAACTGGCCTGAAGGTCATTCATGTTACATTCTGGCTAAGAACCTAGCTGCATTTTGCCTATGTTCTGAGAACTTGAATAAGGCTGAACTAAAAAGCAAATTGCTTGGTGGAGGAAATCTCAAGACAGGAGAGCATTCAGCCTGTGTTGTGGCTTCTGCTCACTCTTCTTATCCAGGTATATAGTGAAACAGAGCAACAAATGGAGCAGAAAGATATGAAAAATATGTTGTTTGGCCAGAAAAGTTGTCTAAAGTTGTAGACAAGGCAGGTTTG